ATATATCATCCAGGGCCAAGGACCAACAGAACTCAGGGCAGGGAGGAAATCTCAACCCAGGCCTTTAGGATGAAGCAGTGGGAAGAAGGGGCTGAGCTGGCTGGGGAGCTTAGGGGTGAGGTGGGAAGTACTGCGAGAACATGGTGAGAGAACATGGTGAGAGGACATGGTGAGAGAATATGGTAGGCTCCAGGAGACAAGGAGGCTCTCCCCACTGCACCAGGCCACACCCACTTCCACCATGCAGCATGAGCTCTGGGACTCATACCTGTCCCCAGCTCTGCTCCCTATGTGTCTGGTCTCTAAATATGATCATAAGGGATTATTATAAAAGGTAAATGTGATCATGTGACTGCCCACTTGGAATCCTCCTGGGTCTAGATCTGTCTTCAGGACAAAGTCCAAAAAATATTTTGGTGCCAAAGGAAGCTCTTCTGGCTAGGGTCTCACCTGCTGCTTTGGGCCCCACTCCAGGTACCAGCTTTGGTTATCTGTGTACACCACCCTCCCATCTTACTGCTCCATTTTGCAGCCCCAGCTCAAGCTCACTTTCCACAAAACCTTCCTGAAGCCAGAGAGGTGCAGGGCAGTGGGGAGAGAGGAAGCTACTAAAGAGACTTGATGAGCCAAGAGGGCATCAGAGAAATGGAAAACAGACGCCAATAGGGTTCTGGGAAGTTCCAGGAGGATCTGTTTGGGGAAAAGTATTTGTTGGAAAGAGTTATCTCAGGATTTAGCCAAAATTTTAAAACTACTACTAGCTTCCTAGTTTATAAAAACCGAATCATTACAGGCTGGAGAGATGGCTCAGTGTTTAAGAACTCTGTGAGAACGCTGTTCTTGCAGAACTAGGTTCGAATCCCAGCACCCACATGACAGCTATCAACTGTCCATAACTTCAATTCCACGGGATCTGACACCCTCTTCTGTCCTCTACAGGTACTGCACGACACAGATGCATTTACACACATGCAGGCATAACACTCATACACATAAAATAAAAAAAAAAAATAAATCAAAAACACTGAACCATTAGAAAAGACAGTGAAGAAATGACGTGATGTTTGAAAAAGACAGCATGTCTTCTGTACTTACTCATAATTAGACATGTTTCAAATGATATTCCTCAGTTCTTGGTTTTATAAGCATCTACATAGATTTATATCTAATGACAATTATCTGGCAAACCATGTATACTATTATGATAAGCAGAACACATTAAATATTTATCTTTTCCATTTACATTTCAAGGATTGTACATTTGAAATAAGTGTAAATTACCTTTGGGCAGAGATCTTGATCATTCCTCCTTCAGAAAGGAGAGAAACCACTAATAGACAGTTGATTACCCAATGCAGCTTTCTCTGAGGCTGGCACACCAGGAAAAATACAAAGTACCCAATGTCCTTCTTACTAAATAAAAAGAATGATAGCCCACAGTGTGTTTCTTTGGCTTGATGAAATAAATTCACCAATGTGTCTGCAAATCATTTAGAGTTTTTATGAGGAGGAGAAATGATAATTACTTCAATTATAATTAGGGAGCGTTTGAGAACAAGAATCACACCAGGACTGGGTGATTAGATTTCTAAGTTCTGTGAACAGATTTCCAAGACAGATTAAAAACTGAGCAACACTGGGATGAAGCAAGTGAACTGGCTTCCAGAGGTTAGAGAGCCATGTTCTCCCTGCTCCATGGAGGGTGATGTAGGGCCTGTTTAAGCCAGACCACTCAGGCCATTTGTACAGGCAGCCCTTTCATCCTGACATTCAGCCTTAACTCCCCCTTTGGGTGCTTAGAGTCACAAGAGATGCAGGGCACAGAGGTGTGTGGTTCACTTTGTTAAGATGTCATTGAAACCTGCAAATGATATGCAACAGCAGGAACCTTGAGCCCTCAGTCCATCGCTCTGAGACTGGAGTGCACAATCACATGTTCCTTACATAGAAACCTCTAGCACTGATGCAATCTGCATGTCTGGGAGCTGTTCCCCATAAGTACCCACAGCACTGACTCACCGCTTCTTTCCACACCAAACTCCTTCCCACTCAGAATATGGTGCAGGAGGTTCTTCATGTCGAAGGGACTGAGGTTCATCAAACTCTCTGAAGCTTCTTCTCCTGTAAGCAAACAACTTGTAAGTGGCCCAGACATGGGGTTGGTGATGGGCAAAGGCAGAACTGGGTGACTCTGGGTGGAAGAGGGTGACAAAGGATGCAGTTGATTGCCTGATACAGCTTTCTCTGGGGCTAGCACACCCAGTAAAAATACAAAGTACTCAATGTCCTTCTTATTAAATAAAAAGAATGATAGCCCAGAGTCTCCTTGCTCAGGATTCCCTCACTAGTTCTACAGGGCTAAAAGACAGTGGTCCTTGGGGGGTCTAAATTCTCCTGTTTCTGTTTAGGTCAGTATAGAATGCATTTAATTCCTAGACACAGAATTTTTCAAATTATTTTGATCCTCAATGTTGAGATAGGTTTTCCAAATGATGTTCGTATTTCTGCTAGCAGGACTTCTCCCAGTGAAGGTATGATTATGTGGTGGTGGTTGGGGTTGGGGGAGGGTGACATCCTACAGTGAAGACATCATGAGGCACTTAGCTATCAGATACAGTAAAGGTTCTCATGTGAACATGGCTGGTGCTTTGCCTACCCTGACTGAGGCATGTTATGTTGTGCTACCTGGCATGACAGCAGTCACCTCTCACAATTGAAACCTGGTGGAGCCTGAACTTGCCCAGAGTGTAAGTCTGTTCAGGAATACTTGAGCCTGGCTCTCTGCAAAGCAGGGTCTTGAGGCTGGAACGAGGTGGGTAGAAGTGAGTCATGGCCTCTCACCTGAGCAGTTCAGGCTACGTGCCAGTTCCGTGGCCATCACTTGGATGATCAGTCCAATCCGGAGTCTAAGCATCTCCACAAAGAGGCTGGGCTGGGCCCGGACATACATGGCCAGGTAAACCACGATCTCCTGGTGCAGACACACATGGAAACAGGGCTTCAGGAAACCTGAGAGGCCTGCTGCCACTGTGAGGAGGGTGTGAGTCAGCTACCTCTTCCCACACCAGTGCCTGACCTGTGTGAGGACGGCGATGCTGATGTCCTGCCCACTGGCCTCGTAGATGAGTCTTGTGAGCTCCTCTGGGGGAAGGGGCCTAGGAAAGAGTAGCAAGTCACATATGATGGGTGTCTCCAAGCAGGGCTTCCTCACCCTTAGTGAAGTTCCCAGTTTTCTATGTTACAAGTGCCCTTATGAAACAGTATCTCAAAAAAACCCTTCCTGAACAGTGAAGAGTACTGGTGCTCACCCAGTGCTCTTCCATAAACTGAAAGTTGCTAGAAGAGACTTACGCAGAAATGGTCTTCTCCCGGGGCTCAGGCGGCAGGCCCACTGTGAGCTGCTTCTGGTGGGACAGCAGGTCTGCACAGGCCTGAATATTTGGGGATAGGGGAGTGAAGGGGAAAGAGCTTAGGCAAAGCCAATTGAGAAGGGTCAGTGCCAACAGCAACAGAAATTCACCTTTTAAAAAATATTTTATTTATTATTTTATTATTTTATGTATATGAGCATATTGCCTATATGTATGTAAGTGTACCCATGTCATGCAATGCTCACAGAGGTCAGAAGAGGGTGTTGGATTCCACTGGAACTGGTGTTACTCATAGTTGCTAGCCGCTATGTGGGCGTTAGGAATCAAACGTAGGTCCTCGGCAAGAGCAACTAGTGCTCTTAACAACTGAGCCATCTCTACAGCCCCCAGAAATTCACCTTTACAAACTTAATAATCCACATTGCCTTGCTGAGAAATTCATCCTAGACCTCAGGTTGAGTAATTCAGACAGGGCTGAGTCAATGTGATCTTTGTGTTATCCAGGTATTTCCCCAGGCCCGGCCCATCCACTACAGTAAACACTGTGGACTCCTTGCTATTTGACAAGGCAGGGATGAGGTCTCAGACAGTAATGGCAAGAGTTGCTGACCACGTTCTATTCCTAACCTGCCACTTCCCTCACTCTTCACATGTGACAACTACTGGCACTTTACCAAAACACTCAATTTAATGCCACACAAAGCAGTTCTGGATTTTGTAGGGCCTCAAGGTTATACATATTAATGATCTAATACTGTAGATGTGTGGAAATAAGACCTCAGAGGATGCCAGGCCACAGAGCAGTTTTGTGTGATTTCTTGGTAAGTCTTCTGTGGTTAAGAACCAAAGTAGCCAATCTGACAATTTTCTTCTCTCTGTTCTCTTCCCATAGCAATGGAATGGCAGGAAAGAAAAGCCTTCCCAGTGTTGGGTTAGCTCCCTGCTTTCCTTTCCTGATAAGAGGCCTGGAGCTCCTGCAACTGGTAGATTGGAAGAGGAAGAAAACATAGGGCTAGAGAGGTCAAATGTACGGCCCACACGGCATGTTTGCTCTTACCTCAGCCAAGACCTCCACTTTCTTCCTGAGTAGGCCTGAGATGTAGCGAATCAAACTCCATTCCTGGTTTAGGCCAGCTTTTCCATAAAGCTCGCTGAGAAGACTGTGAACAGTGACTCCGTGCTGTCCAAAGAGATTGGTGTCCCAGTTGGGACCCCTGCCAAGAGGTAGAAAAACGCAAAGATAAAGCCCAGAATATCAAGGCTTGGAGAGGCATTTATTGTTCCATATTTTGCCAAGACATTTCTAGTAAATCTGGGCGTCACCAAGAGGGTTCCATCCTACCAAAGATCGCTACAACCATGTCTTTTGAAACTGAACCCTAACACCCACATATCACTGTGGAATCGTGGCCTCGCCCAGGCTTCTCCTGGCAGGTCAGCGTCAGGAGGCTGAGAAGGGGATGGAAGTGTCATGTGTGGTGATCCTGGGTAATTTGGGTGAATGTAATTATGGTCTGGGATTGCTGGGAAGCCAAGAGACTAAGAAAAAGAACTAAGGAGAAATAAGTTTAACACGGTAAAGACCATATGCTTATTGCTATAGCCTGAATATCTGTGTCCCCTGAAAATTTCTGTGTTAAAATCTTAACCCTAGAGTGATGGCATTTGGAAGTAGGGCCTTTGGGAAATGACTAGACCATGAGGACAGAGCCCTCATGATCCATAAGGTAAGTATCCTTACATGAGAGGCCCCAGAAAGCTGACGCCACTATGTGAGGACAGAGCGAGACAGCACTATCCATGAGGAAGTTGGCTGTTACCAGACACCTAGATCTTCCAGCCTCCAGAACTGTAAGAGACACATTTCTATTCTTTATAATACCAGCTGGTGGTATGTTACTATAGCAGCCAAAATGGATTAAGACACTTACTTGATTACATAAAGAATGTATAGAATATCTGCTTGGTCCTGTAGGTTTGAACAGTCTTTCAGTTGCCCAACCAGCTTCTCACAGTCCATGTCACCATGGTCATCTCTGGAACACTGGAAGTCATCTTCAGAGGTCTGGACACACAAAAGCAAAAAATCAGGGAAAGGGGCTGAGCATGGGAACTTTCAGATGACCAGGTCTTTGAACACTGGCACTGTGCTCGTTTCTATTTTTCCAGGAAATATTCCATATTACTTCATTTATAGGCCTTTATTATATTTGATCAGTGACTCACTATGTTGGTTAATATTTACAAGCGACCAGACTGAACAGGTTAAAACACATGTAAGTTTTATATATGCAGATTTCAAAAACAGGCAAAACCAACTTCTCTATCGCAAATCAGGTTAGCAGTCCTCCTCCCCACCACATACTGAGAATCAAACCCAGAGCCTTGCTAGGCAAATAATCTACCACTGGGTTGCAGCAGTTATCTCTGGACTACAGAGAGGAAGAAATTATTAGGAAGAGGCACATACCATAGCCAATGACAAGTGCACACTGGCTCAGTGACAATTTACTACACTCTATTCTTGAGCTTTTATGCAACCTTTCTGTTTCTATGTTATACTTTAATAAAATATTTGTTCATTTTCCTGAATAGGGTCTCACCATGTAGCCCAGGCTGGCCAAGAACTTGTTATATAGCTCAAATTGACTTCAAATTTGCAGTCTTCTTGCCTTTGCCTCTGGTGCTAGAACTGCAAGCGTGTGTCATTATACCCAGCTTTCAATGGAATACTTTTTTTTAGAAAGCAAAACAATATAAAATGCATGTTTTAAAATATCTAAAAATGAACTCAGATTAAAATATTCTCCAATAGGCACTGGATATTTTAACTCATGTGGGATATAATCGTAGAGACTTCAAATAACAAAAATAGGGACCAATATGGACCAACACCCTAAGATTTTATGCTTCTGAAGAATCTCATTATATTAAGAGTATGAAGAAGCAGACGTGGTGGAACATGCTTATAATCTCAGCATTTAGGAATTAAATGCAGGAAGATTGCAAGTTTAAGGCCAGCCTGGGCCAAGTAGTGAGACCTTGTCTTAAAACAAAAAAACCAAACAATACAAACAAAAGCGTATAAGGAACAGAGTCCCATACACTGTTCCACAAGTCTTCTGCCCTGACTTCCCAACTCAGATAGGACAGGGTGAGGCAGGTAGTTAGTGTATTTCTTCTGGTGAACAGGCAGAAAGCAGTAAGAGCCTTTTCCTACTGGCAAAATAAAAAGTTATGCACCAACATTAGAGCAGACAATCATGCAAACCAGATTTCAGACAACTCAGTGCCTGAATTCGCATCAACATTCAGAGTGTCTAAACCATAAAGTTCTGGTTATAAAGAAATATACTCGTTGAGTTTGATGATTTAGGAGAATTCTTGGGCCTAACCAAGTATTATCGAGTATTACACTTCAAAAATAGCTATTCCAAATACTCTACCTTTTTTAAGAGTGGCTGAGGAGAATCAACAAGATTTAGTGATTTACGGTGACCACTTAGAACTTTAGTTGGCAAAATCTTGGGAAAAACTGGAAAAGAAAATAATGAAGAGAGCTGTTCTGAGGAAGAACAATAATAAGGTAGTTCTTTGGGGATGTGCTGGCTATTCTTTATTTATCACAAATCAAGTGTTGGAACGCTTATCTAGCTTCACTAATCTCAAAGAAAATTTATCATGTAGTCACATCTTATGCTAAATCTGAGAAGAAGAATGCACAGAGCATGAATTTTGACTTCGGAGAGGTGATTTTCACTCACCTCCTCTCTCTCGGGACTGAGGTTGGCACCTTAGGACTGCAGAGATTTAGACGAGATGGTGTCCGACACCCCTCCCTACCCATCTCTTGTTTTTCAGATGAGGAAACAGACCCAGAGAAGGTAGAATATTTGTCCTAGGTCACAGTATTCCATAATCAAGGTGCCTGGGCATCCTGAACAATGTCACTCTGGCATGGCTAGGTGTTATGGCCTTTTTTTTTTTTTTTAACCACTCCTGGATGCAATTACTATCTACAGTCATTCAGTAAGTCATCTCTGTCACCCAGGCTATATCACAACATCTCAGACTAGGAAGTAACTGATGAATATTTACTCATCCTCTCTGTATACACATACTTAGACTAGGGCTCCATGGCAAGTGTCTTCCTTTATTACTCTATTTTCTGAGATAGGGTTTCTTCAGTGAACCTGGAGCTCACTCATTCAGCTGAACTGACTAGACAGTTGAGTTCCAAGGATCTGCCTGCCTCTACCCCAACACTGCCCCAATGCTGAAGTTACAGGTGTATATTGCCAATGCCTGGCTTTTACACGGCTGCTAGGAATCTGAACTCAGGTCCTCATGCTTATTCATCAAGCACTTTACCCACTAAGCCATCTTTCTAGTCTCCCCCACCTATGCATATCTAAGGGTATTTATTAAGACAGGTGTAGTAGCTAACATCTGTAATCCCAGCACTTAGCAAGAGGATTGAAAGTTTAAAGTCTGTATAGTTGTGTTCATAGCCAGCCTGGACTATATGATGAGCCCTGCCCCCCGCCCCAAGCTAAAACCAAACAAGAAAGACCAATTCTCAAGAATAGGTAAAAACAGGAGAGAAGAGAACAGTAATATTTTTCAGACATGAGAAAGATGAAGGTTGGAAGATAAGTGATTTAACAGACATGGAGCAACCTAACTCCAAGTTTGCAATGGGGAAATCCATGAACCAGTCAGATTTACTTCAGAGAATTCTCTGAAGTGTCAAGATTTTGTTGTACTGGGTACTTCTGGAACTGGTGTAGGGCCAAGGGGACTGAAAAAAGGAGAACAAGGAGATACTGTGTGAGAAGCAGTGAACTCCCTAGATGTTCTCCTCTTCAGCACATAGCATGGGACTTCCTTGTTTAGGAGGACAGAATATTAGAGGGTCTCTCTGAAGAAAGTGAAAGAGGGAGGGCATCTAGGTACAGGCTGACTGACACATCCAGGAGCCTAACTGTACTCCTCAGGGAGATAATATAACTAGGGATCCAGGCAAACAGTTCCTTACCCTTCCAATAGGATAATGAATGGGTGACCGTGGAATACCTCTGGGAAACCAGCCTACACCATGCAGCCCCAAGGTCACAAGCCCCATTCTGCTTGGAAGTTTTCTTGCAGGACTGGCTGAGCATCAGGAACTGAAGGAAGAACTCTAATGCAAGAAATAGATACCTGTGCTAAGAGGAAAAGGTATCTTGGAAGTGGAAACTATCCAGGGAGAACTAAGATAAAAAGCTCTGCCACTTAATATTTTTAGAATAATAAGAAATTATATTACATGTATGAAACAAGAACACATGCAATTTTAGGGAATGACAGTTTAAAAAATCACAGTAAAAAAATACAATTGAAGAGGTGGAACAAAAAGTTGAGGTGGGGGTTGAAGCAATGGCTCAGCAAATAAGAGCACTTTCTGCTCTTGCAGAGGACCTGAGTTTGGTTCCCAACATTCACATGGTAGCTAACAACCACCCATAACTCCAGTTCCAAGGAATATGACACCCTCTTTTGACCTTCAAGGGCACTGCATATACACAATGCACACTCATACACATAAAACAAAAATAAATATATTAAAATTTTTTAATTAAAGAAATTGCACTCAGAATACATAGAAATATGGGAAACAGAATATAAATGCTAATAATTTCTGCAGAAGTCAATAAAAATACATGAAAGAAAGAACAGAGGAAATGCAAGGAAAGAAACGAGTCAAAATTCTTAGAAAAAGTTTACATGACTGAAAAACATAAATTTCCAGATTGGAAAGGTCCACTGAATACTCAACACAAAAAATGAAAATATACACAGGTCAAGATAAATCACTAAAATTTCAGAAACTGTGAACAGAGAAGACTTAAAACCTTTCAAAAACAGTTTATAGTTGAAGGATTAAAAATCAGAATGGGCTATTTCTTAACAGGAACAATGGTAGCAAGGATATAATAAAGGGCGAGGCAATAGCTCAGTTGGTAAAATGCTTATCATGTAAACCAAAGGAACTGAGTTCAACACCAGAACTCACGTAACCAAGCTTGGCATGGTTGCATGTACTTATAATCCTAGCACTAGGGAGGTGGAAACAGTCAGATCCCTGGGGCTTGTTGGTCAGCCAGCCTAGCCTAATCATCAAGTCCCAGGTCAGTGAGAGACCCTGTCTCAAATAATAAAACAAGGTGGAGGGTACCTGAGGAACAACCTCAAAATTTGATTGCCAGCCTCCACAGGAACACAGACACAGACACACAGACACGCACATAGACACAGACACAGACATAGACACACACAGAGGCACACACACACACACACACACACACACACTCACACACACAGACACACTAACACACAGACTCACATACACACACCACACACACACACACACACAGACACACACACACAGACACACTCACACAAACTCAGACACACTCACACAAACTCAGACACACTCACAAACACACACACTCACACACTCACACACACTCACACACACACTCACACAGACACACACAGAGGCACACACACACACACACACACACACACACACACACGCACACAAAGAATGCAAAGGAAAATACGCTGTTAATCTAGATTCTAAATCCAAATTGTCAAATGGGTATAAGATATTTGCAGGTATTTTCAGACCTGTAAGAACTCAGTAAAATTACCTACTATGTACCATTCCCCAGGAAGCTACTGGATGTTCTTCACAAAAAATAAGAGTACCAAGAAAGAGGAAGAGTTGAGGTACAGAACACAGGAACACCAACCTGGACATGAAGTCAAGGAATTCTCTAAGATGACAGTGAAGGAAGGTCCCAGAATAAAAGCTACATTCCAGACAGGGAAATCAAACATGCCAGAATGGATGGGAAACAAGCAAGCTGAGAGCTTTCACTGCCATGCCTTTCACCACATTTAAAACTTAAATTTATTTTACTTATTTATGTGTGTATGTGTGTGGGGGGGTGTCTGTCTGTCGCCTGAATGTGCGAGTGCACACACTTGTGCACATGTGTGCCCATGTGGAGGTCAGACAGAGGATAACTTACAAGAGCTGTTTTTTTCCTTCTACCACATGAGTCTCTGGGATTGGACTCAGGTCATCAAGCTTGGTGGTAAGTGTGTTCACTTGCTAAGCCATCTCACTGGCCCTATACTGTTTATTTTTAACCTATGGAAACTATTTCAGAATGTGTTCCAACAAAAGAAAGGAATAAATTGAGAGAGAGGAACACAGAAATTCAAAAAAGAGGGATTACAACTAAAGAGATGAGCCAAGGAAATTCCCAGGATGACAGACATATAACAGACCTACAGCACAATTGGCCCAGAAAGGAGACTTTGCAGACTTTAAGGAAATACAATTAAGAGATTCACTGATATGAATCACCTTGTGGAAATTTGCATTGTGAGGGCACTGGAACACTCAGAAAGAAGGCAAAGAAAGTAAAAAGGGCAACATTCATTTTGGAAAAAGTAAAAATAGGAATATAATCATAGTATGCTATAATGCTCAATTGAAAACAATACTTGCATAAATACTATAAAGTATGAATATTGATTTAATTTAATTTTAATACAACTCTCTTGGTAGGTTTGGTGGTTTGAGTGAGACTGTCTCCCATAGGCTCCAAGTATTTGGATATTTTGTCCCCAGTTGGTAGTGGTGTTTTGGGAGGTCTTAGAAGGTGTGGCCATATTGGAGGAAGCACTGTCACTGGGGGCGGAGTTCTTAAGCCTTGCCATATCTTGAGTCACTCTCTTGCTTCCTGTGCCTGCTTGAAAATGTGAAAGCTTAGCATCTGCTCCTCCTCCAGCCACCTCTACTGCCATGCCTCCCTACCTACATGGATTCTTGCCCCTTTGGAACTGTAAGCTAAATAAAACTCTTCCTTCTATAAATTGTTTTGGTCAATGTTTCTATCACAGCACCAGTAAATTAACTAAGACAGTAGGTTAAGGAAAGTGAAGTAGAGGAGTGGTAATTTAAAATAGCTAAAACCTTATCCATACACTAGAACGTCAATAGGTACCAAATCAAACTGATGCCTCACAGAAATAAGCACACATTATTTTAGAAATATGGGGATATGTAAATGCCAGAAAAAAACATCTGCAAGAGCTGAAAATAATCACATCTAAGTAGAAGGCTGGGGGATGGGCACATTTTTTTAAGGAATGACTAAAATTATGTACATATATTATTTTGATAAAGGGAGGTATTTTAATAGAAGAGTTTAATAACACACATGGAGTTTCCAAACCCTTTGCTTTGGCCATCACAGAAAGTATGTCCCGAGTGGAGTAGATAGCACTGAAAACATGGCTGTCTTCTGACTTCTTACAAAGAGGGGGCAGGTAGCATTTCAAGGATGTGCTTTGCAGAAGGTGGTTGATATACTGGTCAAGTTCATCTTGGCTTTCTGTAAGTGGTCAATAAAGGAAAACTGTCAATGAAAACAAGTTGCAGAGATATCTTAAATATGTAATAGTGAATGTGTATAGCAGGCAGCACTGAGTAGACAATATTTAGCTACCGATATTTGCACCTCTACATTCACCTAAGGAATAAAAAGATAGTGACAAATAGGATGTATGTGTATATAAGTTTATCGTTTGAAAAACTTCATTCTAGGAAAAGAAAATCCAGAACAAGATAGTTTTTCCATCACATTGTCCAAAGGTAAGCTTTGGAATATGAATACAACCTGAAGGACAGCAGTTGACGTCTTTTAATTTGTTAAGAGTGAGCTAAACCATATAGACCTCTCTGCATTTCCAGGTATGCTCTAAAAGTAAAAATGGGTCACTTTGACCCCAAACCAGGTTCAGAATGAGAAATGTTATATACATATGGTACCTCACTCACATCTAATCAAACCTAGGTCATTCTTCCATTCTTTTGAAAAGTCAAGCCAAGCAAAGTGTTTCTGTTTTCAGAATTTACTTTGTGAGGTCTGAGGATGCAGCTCAGCAATACAGGCATGCACAAGGCCTTGGGTTTGCTCCCAGGTTAGGACTTAAGCTTAAATAGCTGTGAAAATCCCTTTAAGGAGCAAGTGGAGCAGGCAATGCAAATAAACTCACAGGGGCCTGAACTTCAGTGGGGTACATCAATTTTTTTTTAAAGAAAAATCCTTGTGGGGCTGGAGAGATGGCTCAGCAGTTAAGAACACTGACTGTTCTTGCAGAAGACCCGGGTTCAAATCCCAGCACCCACGTGGC